TTCTTGGGTTTGATATTAATGATTCCCCCGTGATACCCACCCTCCACGCACCCTCTTCACAGGCCCCTACAAGGTTCATTCCACTGGGGGAGCTGCCTCGTGGGAAGGCAACCGCGTCAAGACCCTGAAGCATGCCAAAACATTGCTCTCGGGATTCCACCGCCACGGGTCAACCTGACTGTTGCGTCCCGACGATCCAGAATGGTGCCAGAACGCCGTTTTTTGGTCATCAGCACCGCGAATCAACGTCACTAATTCTGGTACGCTGATCATGGGAAACTGTGAAATTATTGCAAGTACCTACCGGTCGTTGAAAGTAGGTATTCTTGGATTCCCAGATCCCAATCTATTTTAAGCGCCTTCCTATTTCAAGAATTGATATGGTTCGTGTTTTTGGGGGGCCGGGCGCAAACGTAATCTACTTCTAGGGTTTGGTTGTCACTGCCCTGGGTGACGGTGGTCGCTCGGCCCCTCGGCTGGCCCCATTCCTTGGTTTTGTTTGTTTTTGTTTGTTTTCGCTTGTCCGTCGGCTGCATTGGTCGCCCCAGGCTCGCCCGCCGCCCCGCGGTCGCTCGGCCCCTCGGCTGGCCCACTTCCTTGGTTTTGTTTGTTTTTGTTTGTTTTCGCTTGTCCGTCGGCTGCACTGGTCGCCTCAGGCTCGCCCGCCGCCCCGCGGTCGCTCGGCCCCTCGGCTGGCCCAAATCCTTGGTTTTGCTTGTTTTTGTTTGGTTTTCGCTTGTCCGTCGGCTGCAGTGATCGCCTCAGGCTCGCCCGCCGCCCCGCGGTCGCTCGGCCTCTCGGCTGGCCCAATTCCTTGGTTTTGCTTGTTTGTGTTTGTCTTCGCTTGTCCGTCGGCTGCACTGGTCGCCTCAGGCTCGCCCGCCGCCTCGCGGACGCTGGGCCCCCTCGGCTGGCCCCATTCCTTGGTTTTGTTTGTTTTTGTTTGTTTTCGCTTGTCCGTCGGCTGCACTGGTCGCCTTAGGCTCGCCCGCCGCCTTTCGGTCGTTCGGCCCCTCGGCCTGGCACAAATCCTTGTGGTTTTTGTACGTTTTGTGGGTTTTTTCGGCTTGTCCGTCGGCTGCAAACTGTCCGCCCCAAGGCTCGCCTGCCGCCCCTCGGTCTTTCGGCCCCCCGTCTGGCCAAATCCTTGGTTTGTTTTTTTTCTTTATGGTTTTCGCTTGTCCGTCGCTGCAAGTGATCTCCTCATGCTCGCCCGCCTCCCTGCGTCGCCTCGGCCCCTCGCTGGCAATTCCTTGGTTTGGTTTTGTTTTTGATTTGTTTTCGTTGTCCTCCATCGGCTGCACTGGTCGCCCCAGGCACGCCCGCCACCCCGCGGTCGCTCGGCCCCCCGGCTGGCCCCATTCCTTGGTTTTGTTTGGTTTTGTTTGGTTTTGATTGTCCGTCGGCTGCACTGGTCGCCCCAGGCTCGCCCCCCGCCCCGTGGTCGCTCGGCCCCTCGGCTGGCCCACTTCCTTGGAGTTGCTTGTTTTTGTTTGTTTTTGTTTGTTTTCGCTTGTCCGTCGGCTGCACTGGTCGCCCCAGGCTCGCCTGCCGCCCCTCGGTCGTTCGGCCCCCCGGCTGGCCCAATTCCATAGTTTTGCTTGTTTGTGAATGGATTCCCTTGTCCGTCGGCTGCACTGGTCGCCTCAGGCTCGCCTGCCGCCCCTCGGTCGTTCGGCCCCTCGGCTGGCCCAATTCTTTGGTTTTGCTTGTTTCCGTTTGTTTTCGCTTGTCCGTCGGCTGCGCTGGTCGCCCCAGGCTCGCCCGCCCCGCGGTCGCTGGGCCCCAGCGGCTGGGACCAGTGGAGCCGACGGAGAAGCGAAACCAAATACAAACAAGCAAAACCATGCAGTGCTGCCGACGGACAAGGGAAAACAATCAAAAACAACCCAAACCAGGGAATTGGGCCAGCCGAGGGGCCGAGCGACCCAGGGCTATTGCTTGCCGCTCAGACAGGGCCGGGAGATTGTTATATATGTCTTGTAATTGTTGTTGCTGTTGTTCCCAACCATCCTGTGGTGTTGGGTTTTCGTTTTGAAGAGACGGCGCCGCGCGTTCCTTCCTCCTCCTTCCCACCCTCCCGAAGGCCCCAGTGGAAGGGTTCGCATGGCGGCCTCGGGCCACTTCAGCACACCCCTCACGAGGATCGTGGCCCCATAGGGAGCTCCACCGAAGGCCCCAGTGGCAGGGTTCGCATGGCGGCCTCGGGCCATTTCCGCACACCCCACATGAGGATCGTGGCCCCATAGGGAGCTCCAGCGAAGGCTCCAGTGGCAGGGTTCGCATGGCGGCCTCGGGCCATGTCGGCACACCCCTCACGAGGATCGTGGCCCCATAGGGAGCTCCACCGAAGGTCCCAGTGGCAAGGTTCGCATGGCGGCCTCGGGCCATTTCGGCACACCCCACACGAGGATCGTGGCCCCATAGGGAGCTCCAGCGAAGGCTCCAGTGGCAGGGTTCGCATGGCGGCCTCGGGCCATGTCGGCACACCCCTCACGAGGATCGTTGCCCCACATAGGGAGCTCCACCGAAGGCGCCAGTGGCAGGGTTCGCATGGCGGCCTCGGGCCATTTCGGCACACCCCTCACGAGGATCGTGGCCCCATAGGGAGCTCCACCGCTCCCCCGGTGGCAGGGTTCGCATGGCGGCCTCGCGCCATTTCGGTACACCCCTCACGAGGATCGTGGCCCCATAGGGAGCTTCACCGAAGGCGCCAGTGGCAGGGTTCGCATGGCGGCCTCGGTGGTGGTGACGATAATGAGCTCGATTAGGTCAATGAGGATTAGGAGGACGGCAACGAGGAAGAGGATGATGATGATGATGATGATGATGATGATGATGATGATGATGATGATGATGATGATGATGATGATGATGAGGATGAGGATGAGGATGAGGATGAGGATGAGGATGACGGAATATGATGAGTATGAGGATGAGGATGAGGTGAGGGATGAGAAGGGTTGGATTGAAATGGATGAGATATGATAGGATGGGGATGAGGATGAGGATGAGATGGCATGAGCAGAGGATGAGATGGAGGATGAGGATGAGGATGGGGGATGATGATGATGATGAATTGGATGATGAAGATGATGATGATGATGAGATGATGATGATGATGATGATGATGATGATGAATACGATGAGTAGTGATGAAATGTTAGGATGATATGTAGTGATGACGGGATGATGAGGAATGATGAGGATAGGATGAAGGGATGAGGATGAGCATGAGGTGAGGATTGAGGAGGATGGATGGGGATGGTGATGAGATATGATGATGATGATTGATGATGATGCTTGATTGAATGATGATGATGATGATGATGATGATATGAATGATGATGATATGAGGAGGAGGAGGAGGAGGAGGAGGAGGGAGGAGGAGGAGGAGGAGAGGAGGAGGAGAGAGGAGGAGGAATGGGGGATGGGGGCTAGGAGAGAGGAGGAAGAGGGAAGGAAGGAGGAGGGAGGATGAGATAGGAGGGGGAGGGGCAGAGGAGGAGGAAAGAGAATGGAGGATGGAGGTGGAGCGGAGGACGGAGGAGGAAGAGGAGGAGGAGGAGGAAAGAGGAGGAGGAGGAGGAAAAGGAGGAGGAAAAGGAGGCGGAGGAGGCGGAGGGGGGGTCGCAGGTCTTCGTCGTGCACCAGGCAGCGCTTGCTGGCACGAAAGCGGAGGAGGTTTTCAACAAGGATGACGGGGAAGACAAGGAGGAGGGAGGAGGAGGAGGAGGAGGAGGAGGAGGAGGAGGAGGCCAGCTCCTTCCCCGCCTGGGCCACCCTCACCAACGAACCTCGCACCAGGGTGCAAAAAGCGCTCACGCGTCGGCTTGACCAGAAAAACTATTCAGCCCTGCGGAGCGTTTTCACCAACGAGGAAAAGGCAAGGCTGGGCTCCTGCGGCGGGCCGCGTGCAGCTGCCTGGCAGCAAGCTGCGCCAGGGGCGGAAGGACTGAAACTGAACGACGCAGAGCTATGCCTGACAGCGCGCGCTCTTTCAGGCCGAGACTTAGCGCCGCCCCACGCACACTGCGCGAACCGCACCCGTACGAGCCCGCGCGCAGGCTGGATCTGCGGGGAAGGCCTCTGTTGCAAAGCGCACAACTTTTTTGGATGCTCCTGCGTCGGCGGCGTAAAGTCACACAGCGGGGACGTCGAGGACGTGGGGCAGCGCATTCGCAACGAGTGCGGCTACCACACGGCCAGGCAAGTCCTTGTCCCCAGCTGGGATCGGTGGGCGTGGCGCTGCCAGAACTGCGACACTCGGGGCACGGGTCACCATCAGCCTGCCGGCCCCTGCGGCGGTTGTGGCCAGATTGTCGTCTCCCACAAAGAGGAAGACATCCTCGAGATAGAAGCGCAGCGTATCGGCTGTCCGCGGTTGTTCATTGGATGTGTCAGTCCGGCACGCCGTGCCGGGCGACGGCGCGGGCTTGGCCGCGGCTGCCGGCCGCGACGGCGCCGTGGCAGCAGCAGCAGCAACAGCAGAGGCCGACAAGCGGCAGCGGTGCCCAGAGGGTCGTTGCCCTTGGCCAGTGCTTCCCTTGGCCCCTGAAACGGGAGGACGGCACGGCAGGGCCGCCTTGCGCCACCTTCGCCAGTTGGCGCGCGACCAGGCGCAGCTGGTCGAAAATGACAGGGCCGAGGCGGTTCGCAGCGCCCTGTGCATGCGCTGGGGGGCGGAGCTGTCCGTGGCCTTACAGAAAGCCACGGCCCGGCAGCTCCGCAGCAGCGTAGGCTGCCGTGAAGACGTGGCGGCCTGACGCGAGGCGGGAGCGGGCTGAGCCTGCCATGTGTGTAGACTGCCGTGCGTTGTGGGGCACAGCTCAGGTCCGCCCCCATACGAGCCAGCGGGCCCGCCATGTCCGCGGTCCGCACTCGGCGCAAGGAGGAGGAGGAGGAGGAGGAGGAGGAGGAGGAGGAGGAGGAGGATAAAAAGAAGAAGAAGAAGAAGAAGAAGAAGAAGAAGGCAGCAACAGTAGCAGCAGCAGCAGCAGGCGTCACCGCCATGGCGCCCCTCGACCACGCGAGTGTCGCCAAGCGCTGTCGCGCGGCCTCTCCGGCCCCGCGCAAGGCGGCCGCGCACCACGCACCCGCCCAGGGAGCAGGAGAACCAGGAGGGGGGCCCAGGTGAGGGGCAACGATGCGGGTGGATGGGTTCAGGGGACATGCATCAATCGACCTTCAATCGCCCATTCATCGCCAATGGGGGCCTGATAGTCTACCCCGCTCAGAACCGTGCGGATTCGTTATGGGGGGTTCTCCGCCGACTGCTCGGCGATGCATCGCCGATTCCAGGTTGTTGTTTCCCCCGCCAGGAGGGGGGTAATTGATTACTAAAGGATTTTGGATCGCATGGCCAAGACCATGATAGGTATCGCCGCAAATCTAATGGCGCATCTTCTTCTGTCAATCCGTCCCCTGGCCCCCCTTTTTGGGCCGCCTTCATGACTCGGGACATAGCTTGCGACCCCCACTCTTGGACGCCCCCCTCTAGGACGCCCCCGACAGGGGGGATCCAGGGGGGGAAGGGCCCGATGATGCTACGTGATCAGCGCCTGGCGGATGACGGGACGCGCGTTCAGATTCGGATTTCGAAGAGTCGCGCGATGCACGTTGATAGTGGCCCAGAGGGGTACACTTTTCTGGTCAGGGCTCCGGCCCTGGGGGGGGGGGCAATCTTCTAGACGTAGAAATGCGTGCGGGGATGGGAGGCCCAACGTGCGCCCAGCGCGTGCCTCCCGCGGGGACCCCACTTGAGGGGGCCCCGCCGCACCACCGGCACACCCGCCGCACACGATGAGATGGTTTGGGGGCGGGGCCGGGGCCCCGAAAGGGATGGGATTGTCACGGCCTTCGGCCAGTGCCGCCGATCCGGGTCGCTCGGGGTGCCCCCCAGACTGGGCGGCGACACTTTGCCGACAGACGCGCACGCACACGCTCGCAGACGGTGCGCGCACACGATGCGATGGTTGGAGGCGGGGGCGGGGTCCCGAGAAGGATGGATTTGTGCTTGCTCTCGATGTGGCGGCCCGGGTACGGACCACACCAGGCGGAGCGGGGAGCCTGCGCAGGAACGTGGAGCCCCAACGCGTACAGGGCTTCGATATATATATATATATATATATATATATATATATATATATATATATATCCGCGAGCGCCCGAGAAGGGTCGAGCCCCTGGCCACGCGAAGTCGTCTCAGGATATGAAAGTGTTCAAGTGGCTATGTGGAGCAGAGCGCAGCGCATCGACTGATCTAATCGAAAGTCATCGTCGTCTTCGTCGTCGTCGGAGCAGGAGGACAACAAGGAGGAGAAACTTGAGGAGTAAAGGAGGAGGAGGCGGAGGAGGAGGCGGAGGAGGCGAGTGAGAGCGAAAAGGAAGAGGAGGAGGAGGATTGTGCTGGATTTTGCTACTTGGGTCAATGCTCCGATGGAGAACCCGAAACACAACTCCTCGCGCCATGCGTTTGGACTCACAATGGCGGCCCTGATGGATGCAGCTGCCTCTTCAGCTGCTCGCAAGTGGCCACGCACGACTGAGGATTGTTGCCTTACCCGCACCTGCCAGTCCCAGCCTTTCTAGTTGATGGGTCCTTATCTGCTGCCTTTGTCGCATGAGCTGCTCTCGGCGTTGTCGCTGATATGTTGCCAATTGCGGTCATTCTCGTATGCATTACACCCAACGTGGTAGCTAATTCCATCAGGCTCCAACTTCGCCATTCCCATCTCCAGAGTAGCGACAGAGAGCATAGTGGGCCCTACCATCGCCTTCCACATTTGTCGAGTTCTATCGGGCGCTATGGTAATGACGGCGGGCTCCAGCTTCGACTTCCTCATTCTGCTGAGTAGCGCCAGAACCTGGTTCCCACCACTGCTCCCACTGCCAGTGTAGCTGACGACGTGAGGTTCCAGACATGTGTTCCGAAGCACGTTGCGCCCCGCTCGCTGCTGCCACGGGTCGCTGACACACCCATTTGCCCCAGCATTGTAGCTGATGGCGTCTGGCTCCAGTCTTAGCGCCCAGAGCTCGGCCTTGTCGTGCTTGCTGGCACTCCCAGTGCAGGTGATGACGTTTGGCTCCAGATTTGTCTTCCGAACATGTGTTCGTCCTGTCCGAAGCTGCCTCTGTTCGCCTTTCTCGCACATCCGTGCCCCCGTGCTGTAGCTGATGGCGTCAGCCGCCGCCTTTGGCTGCCGCTGCTCGCCTTTTCCACACTTGATTGCCCATCCAGTGTAGCTGATAGCGTATGGCTCCAGTCTGTTCCAGAGCTCGCCTGTCGCACGCGCGCTGGCACGCACAGTGTAGCTGATGTCGTCTGTCTGGCTTCCGAAGTTCTCTGGCCTCGCTCCGCTGCGTCGGTGCTTGCGGCCACTGCGCTGCCTCCTCGCACGCATTCCTTTCCCCAGTGTAGCAGAGAACGCCAGGCCCCAGCTTAGTTCTCCAAATCACCCTGCGCCCCGTCCGAGGATGCCCCGCGCTGTCGCGGATGGCGTCTGGCTCCAGCCTCTCCTCCCGAAGCACACCCCTCTCGCATGTCCCACGGGCCGACCCCCGCCGCGGAGCGGAGACACGGCTCGCGCGCCCCGGCGCAGCCACAGAGCGTGCTGCCGTGGCCCGCCTTCTCGCGCGAACGGACCCCCACCTTGCAGCCGAGGACCTGTCCCACGAGCTTGCTGCCCTCACGAGCCGAACTCTGCGCTGCAGGTGAGAGGAGTCTCGCTCGAGTCCCGCCTGCGGCAACAGCTCCCGCTGCCGCTGCCTGCCTTCTCGCACGATTTGAGATCCCCACGCTGAAGGTGAGGATCTGCCCCACGAGCTCCCTTGACGCAGGGCTGCTCTCCGCACTGTGGCTGACGACTCGCTACTGTCCGAGGCTGGAATTTCTACATGACCGCCGCCTGGAGGGTCAGCTTTCGGAGCCTCGGCAGGCGGTGGATGTGGACATCTCCAGGCCCCCAGGGGCCGAAATACATCCACACCCTCCGCCCGCTGGGGGCACCAGGAGCTCGGTTCCCAGGCGGTGGCTATGGCTACACCCCCGCCTCGCATGCTGTCCCCCACGGCTGGGCGCGCGCCCGCGGCTGGCCGAAGGGGGAGGAGGAGGAGGAGGAGGAGGAGGAGGAGGGAGGAGGAGGAGGAGGAGGAGGAGGAGGAGGAGGAGGAGGAGGAGGAGGAGAGGGAGGAGGAGGAGGAGGAGGAGGAGGAGGAGGAGGAGGAGGGAGGAGGGAGGAGGAGGAGGAGGAGGAGGAGGGGAGGATGAGGAGGGGGAGGAGGAAGTGGAGGAGGAGGAGGAGGGGGCCCCGGCTGCACGGCGCAGCGCTGCTGCTGCCGCGGGGTGGCGAGCCGCCACGGCCCAGTGCCCTGCGCTCCGGCCCCCCCCACCTGGTCCCTGGGGCGCCGCATAGTGGGGCGCGCAGGCTGAGGGGTCCACCACCTGAAGGGGGCCCTGGGACACACACACACACACACACACACACACACACACACACACACACACACACACACAAACACACTACACACACACACACACAAAACCACACACACCAACACACACACACACATATACAAATCAAGCAGAACACACACACACACACACACACACACACACACACCGACACACACACACACACACACACACACACACACACACACACACACACACACACACACACACACACACACACACACAAAGAAGCAGGCGCAGATCACAGGATTCTCCATCTCTTCCCATCATTTCTGGGTTCTTGTCTTCCCCCCCACTTCCCATAGTTCCCCATACCTTTCCTGGGAGTCGACGATGACTTGTGTCTGTGTGTGTTTTTTTCCCTCCTGGACCATGCATCTGATGACTCTCCTGGGCACTGCCGCTCTCGAGTTTGCCCCAGGAAGCTCGCATGCTCCGGGACGCGGCGGCGAGCATACGAGAGGAACGGCTGAGAAGAAGGAGGAGGAGGAGGAGGAGGAGGAGGAGGAGGAGGAGGAGGGGGAGGTGAGGGAAGAGGAGGAGGCCGGCAACCGCTACATTCTGTCATCGTCGTCCTGGTCGGCCCTCTACGTCGTCGTTTCCCTGGTCGGCGGGAGCCACCGCGCCCGGCAGCAGAGACGGCGATGAAGACGGGACGGGGTGAGTTCGAAAGAGCGAAGAAGGGGAAGGGGGAAGGAGGGAAGGAGGACGAGGAGGAGGAGGGGGGGGGAAGGGGGGAAGGGGAAGGGGGGAAGGAGGAAGGGGAAGGGGGGAAGGAGGACGAGGAGGAGGAGGAGGGGGGGGATGAGCAGGCCGAGGCAGGCGATGATAAGGAGACGACGAAGAGGAGGAAGGCGGACGATCGACCAAGAGGGACAGGAGGCATGATGAGGATAAGGATGAGGATGAGGATGAGGATGATAATGGGATAATGATGAGGATGATGCTGCTGATGATGATGATGACGATGCTGCTGCTGCTGATGATGATGATGATTATGATGATGCTGATGATGATGATGATGATGATGATGATGATGATGATGATGATGCTGATGCTGATGCTGATGCTGATAATGATGGTTATGATGGTTATGATGATGCTGGTGATGAGTATGATAATGCTGATAATAATGAGGATGCTGCTGATGATGATGATGATGATGATGATGATGATGATGATGATGATGATGATGATGATGATGGTGATGGTGATGGTGATGGTGATGGTGATGGTGGTGATGATGATGACGACGATTATGTGGTGGTGATGATGATGATAATGACGAGGAGGAGGAGGAGGAGGAGGAGGAGGAAGACAACAGGTACCAGTGGCAATCCAGAAGAGGGAAAGTGAGCACGCGTGTCAGGAGAAAGTTTGACTAAAATTCCTTACCGGGTTCGTGGATCCCTCAGGTTTTAATTGGGGAGGTCCCGGAAGGGAATGGTTCGCTATCGCTCCGTGATTCGTCCCTGGCGGATGACGGGAAGCGCGCTTATAAGGCCCTGGCTCGAGCGATTGTGGCGATTTTCTTCGTGCCAGCGGGGTCACAAGCCCCCGCACAGCATGATTCCAGATCGATGGTGGGACATGTTTCGTTTCTC